TTTAGATGGTGAATAAACATTTAAAGTTAGAACTTCGCGACTATTTCAATATATTTTGGTGCTATAACATTTTCTGAAGTTAACATGAGGAATGTTCAGATATTTGAGTTATGTGTTATCACTCCAACTTTGGGATTGGTTTTGTGGCCTACGTTTGATTGTTGGAGAGGGAATTCAGTTATCTTGTTTTTGTAATAGTAAGGTTCTTGTAGAATTGATATAATAAATTTATTGCAATTGCGAGTGACGTTAAGATGTTCATTTTTTTTTTACTACAGTGCGCTAAGTTGACTTGGGCTATGCGCAGGGAGTGTGTTTTTGTGTCGGATTTGTTGCGTTTCGATGTTTTGTTTGGATCCATGGTGTCACCTGTGTTCTTTTGTGCGCTTTGCATATTTGTCAGCTTATTCATTCTTGCTTCCGAAGAAGTTGCGACAGTGTAGTTTTGTCTTCCCAGTTCTGTTCGGTCATTACACGCCACTATTGGGCTGTAGGGCAACTGCGATCCCTGATAGAGTGCTCATCTGCCTCATCTATTCCAGCATTCAAGCATGCAGCACATCGTAAACAAATAGGCAGATCCCACGCACCTCGAAATCGGCGTTATGAGAAGCATGCTTGGAGAAGGTGACCACGTTGCAATTTTTTATTGAGCGACATGCCATGAAATGACTCTCAATATATGTACAAAGTTGCATGCGCAGACATATTTTGAAGAGTCACGGATGTTTATATAACCAATTGTTCGCACTTACGCGACAATGTCAATTGGAGCATGGGTATTAGCAACATCAGAAGCTGATACGAAGCGCCGATGCTCGCGAAGACGCTGGCCCTGGACACCGCTACATATATCACTGCTACGGCACATTACACCTCACCACGATTGACGTTAAACCAACGTAATGGCTGTATCAAACAAGAACATATGTAATGTTTATAAAATTCGTTAGGCAGCACTGCAACCACTATATTGACGTTTCGCGAAGATTAGCGTCTATTTAAAAAGTAGTTCCGGGACCTGGCGTAGCTCTCTGGTAGAATACTTGACTGCAACGCAGACTGCTTCGGTTAGATTGCTGCAAGGACCCTGAAATTTAGTATTTGCATTTGTCGGGGAGTCAACGCTACCTATGTCGTGTTTTTCTTGACAATGACATCTATTCTATGCCTTCGCTGAGTTGACACTACCAATCTCGGGTATACCTTAACGCTCGTGCGTTAAAGTTCCCCACGCTACTTGGTTCACGTCGCATGGTACTCTCCCATCCTAATTTCGGTTCACGCCAAGTTAAGGGGGTCACCACGAAAGCACCCAAATGAGAGCGGCTTCATAGATAGATAGATAGATAGATAGATAGATAGATAGATAGATAGATAGATAGATAGATAGATAGATAGATAGATAGATAGATAGATAGATAGATAGATAGATAGATAGATAGATAGATAGATAGATAGATAGATAGATAGATAGATAGATAGATAGATAGATAGATAGATAGATAGATAGATAGATAGATAGATAGATAGATAGATAGATAGATAGATAGATAGATAGATAGATAGATAGATAGATAGATAGATAGATAGATAGATAGATAGATAGATAGATAGATAGATAGATAGATAGATAGATAGATAGATAGATAGATAGATAGATAGATAGATAGATAGATAGATAGATAGATAGATAGATAGATAGATAGATAGATAGATAGATAGATAGATAGATAGATAGATAGATAGATAGATAGATAGATAGATAGATAGATAGATAGATAGATAGATAGATAGATAGATACGCTCAATGTCGCCGAAGTTCGCTAGGAAATGCTTCACCTTTAAAATTTCATCTGCACTCTTCAATACAGTGGTTACTTGCACCTTCTGTGCAGCGTATCTGCCTATTGTGGCAGTTCTTTGCTAGATGGCCAAAGCTAGCACAGTAATAACAAATCAGAGGGTTATTGTTATCATAGAGGGTAGCTCGAGACCATCCTACGTTGATTGTGGTCAGGTATTTCATTTGTTTCAATATGACAGAGGAAGTCTTCAGAATGTCCACCCCTTTCCTTTTTGGTTTGTGTACTCAGCGAAAATTGTGAGTTCATCAGGACTGCCTGTAATCCTATTTTGGGCCAGAATTTTCTTTAGTTTGTCTTCTGCTGTGTTCGGATCTACGCCGACCACTTTATCTGTTGAGAGTCTGGGTGCAGGTGTGAACACCTGGATCTCTTTTGCTTTAGAGAGCTTGTGAAGGCACTCTTTCAAGCCTATGATTGCCCTATTAGACGTGCTGATAATGACAGATGTGTCATTTGCATTTAGTTTGACATATGTGAGTCACATCTTTGCCAGATCAATGTTTTTGGCAATGCTCTCTTTTGTTTCCCTTGTTGTCACTTCGCCAGTTCAAGGTTTAATGATTAGAAGCACCCGCTTACCCAGTTTACTCACTGAGTTTGCTCATCTGAGCAAACATAAGCGAAAGTGCGCTCTTGCTCCTCACTGCTAGGTTTCAGTTCACTCAGCTGGTCCTTTATTTTGGCATTTTCTAAGGCTGTTTTCTAAGCTTTCAGTAGTTGGTCGCATGTATGTGCGCTTTGTCCCTGTTGTTACACTACCAGAAATGCATGGTAGAATGCAGTTTCACTGTTACTTATTTTACCCAACATAGAGGGTTTGTTTAGCTCCTGCAGTGTCTCATTTTCTCCAGCTTGCCTGTCTACCTCTACTCTTTTCTCATGTTGTAGCTGTGCCTGAGGGTTCGGAAGTGGTTCTGAGGACTGATCCTCAGCAGCAGATTCAGATCGGGGCTGAATACTTAGCTCTTCATTCTAGTGTCTCATTGTTTTAACTGTTCACTTCTTTTCTCCTTTTCTTGCATATTATTGTAGAAGTATCTCCGGTCACGTGCTTGAGCCTTGAAGTAGACTACCGGGCTGGAGCTTGAACAGACTCAGCCTGGTCGCGTACCCACCTCAGGAACGCTGGCCGACGCCCGCCGTCTCGAACAGTGCTCTAGAATTTTGTTTGTTTGTGTGCCCGTGAACACTGGCACGTACTCCTCTCTGGGGTATTGGCCAAGAAAACTCGTAGTGGCATATACGTGAACACTATACAATTATTGTGAGCCTACTACAAAAAAGACAAAGCAAAAAATTTCAATTTATTTTTTTAAGAATAAATAAAGTACTAGTGACATATAAATGAATCAATAAAAGATGATACGAGCTAATACCATATCGAAAGACTGAAATTTTGAGTGGACGAGACAGTTGAGTTTACCTCATTCGATCAAAATTGAATGTATGTTGGACATTTACGCATGTTATCATTTATATCACCAGTATTCTTCAAGTGTACATGAAAGCCGACGTTATATTGGCGTGCGTTGATATTCTGGAATGAAATTACGTACTGCATCAAACTCGTTTCTGGGGCAATGTCCCAAGCTAGAGGCGCCTAAACTGAGAACATTATCTGCAGTTGAACTTAAACCTACTGTGTGAAACGGAATAACTTGAAGTATTTTTCTAATAAATGAATAGTTCTGAGATTATAAAAAGTAACGCTCAATTGGGTCTGTTTGTTCTCAGAATAGGCCCGGGGAGATATTGCCAGACCAGCTATGTGTGAATAAAAGTTTATTGCTTCAGAAGCCCCTTCACGAGCCTTTTCCAACACGTTGTCCCGCATCTTGTTCCTAATTCATCTTTCGCCCCCCGGCTCACCTGCCCTCCCCTCTTCAATTTCCACCTGCCGCTTCAAGTCTTATATTCTTAAGCATCAACCTTGAAGCACCATTTATGTGTCCTTTCAACACACCATCTTACGTTTTTCGACCAGTGTTGCCAACAGACGGAGCGTTTTGTGGAGTTGCAAATTCTGAAAGCTTCTTCCAACTTGCTTTGCGGAGGCCCACCTCCGTATGATGGAGCGAAAGTACATGCGGAATATTCGCACGTACTTTCTTTCGTGTAAATATATACACTATTGTAAATGTTCACCTTTAGACAACCATGACGATTGTTGTTGGCATAGCAATGAATAACAGTGCATAGACTGCTTCGCATTTCAAAGAGGCAGTTTTAAACCTGTGATTCCTACATCCCAAGTCCATAAAGCATTCATATATATATATATGCGGGTGATTTCTACTGTCTTAACGTGTGGTGCCTGGGAGTAGCATTCTGTATTCTCCCAAACTGACGGAATATTTGAAGATTGTCTGTTCCTTATCGTCATCGCAGGGTAAGTTCAATTTCTCAAGTGATCATGCTTGCTTAATACACGAACCAGGCTCGTGCATTCAAAAACGCCATTCTTCGCTCTTCTTCTCGTATGCATGTAATAATCCGGCTGCGATATATAGGCGCCAGCTTTCAAGTGTACGTCGCGACGGATTACTAATCTCAATGGTTCAGATAATCTGCAGAAAAGCAAATGAGGGTTTCCCGGGCATACATTGCAGTGCATGCTGCTGCACTAATGGGTTTTCTATACGACACGATTTTCTTCTATATGGACGACTGCACCTGCATCATTGTAGGTAAGACCGCTTCATATTACGGGCCGAGTCTATGCTGCATAGAGGCGTAGCGAGAATTTCTTTCGGGGGGGGGGGGGGGCGTTCAATTACACTTTATGTATGTTTGTGTGGGCTTTTGTTTCTGCGCGTGTATGTATACGCAAGCAAATTTGAAAATTTTGGCGAAAAAGAATTTTATCCCCCCCCCCCCCTGGCTACACCCCTGATGCCGCAGCGGGTCCGTTTTAAGCCATTCTTGGAGTCCAAAATTTCGGTATAGGCACATGCCCAACTTGCCACTTTCTAGCCACGCGCCTAGCTGGAGTGAACATTACCACATAAAGACTTCTCAGGGCTGGAACTGCTTACGTTGACAGCATTTTATGTACGCATTGCTCCATCATTTCCATACTTCCAAAGTGGAGGGAGGAATATAAAGCTTGTGCGGGAAGGAGATACGGGAAAGGAGGAAGGAATGAGCAGTTGTTTATTGAGTCATGACAAAGATGATACAGAGGACAAACGTTGTACGGTATAAAGAGGGAACGAAATGGAAGGGGGGAAGGGTCACGTCTTGAATGACAGCATAAATGAGAAGATATAGTGGTACTAGGCTAAATTATTTTTTTTTATTTTTACAGTTATACAACAAGTTTATCCGGAGCACATCACTTGCGCTTAGTCCGGGCTTTTCGAAAACGTCTTTGAGGTGACTGCCATTCTTCGCCAGCATGGTAACCAGGCCTGGCTCTCGGGCAAATGTTTCCGAGCCGTACAGCATGATCGAGTCCATGTCGAAGGGCGTCAGCAACCTGTTCTTCGAAGGTGCGAGCTTCTCGAACTGTTCGGTGTTTTCTGCGATTGAGAAATTGGACTCGCATGGATAAAAAAAAACCAACATAACACAACGGAAACAAGCATCCTGGTGCGGACCCGCCGAAGAGGCCTTCATTAGAGAGGTGACCAGCCCTTTTTTTGGAGTACCTGAAGGGGGGGGGGGGGGCAGGTTTGGTTTAATGACCTGTTTCCTATGTTCATACAGCCCGTACTATCTTGTATGCACGAAAATATTTTTTCGGCAGAGGAGGGCAGGATTACCTCCACCTCAACAACTTGGCTATGCCAGTTGTCTTTGATTTGGCGATTACGCCATAATATGGATTTCAGTGGACCATGTGCTGTCTGGTTGTGTCAAGGCAGGCAGGGCCCTGTCTGCCTTCTTTCAACTAATGGCACAGGCTGCGTTCTTCGTCATGCAAAACAATGTACACTGTAGCCGAAAGTGGTCGCCTCAGAATGTGACCCTTGTCAACGTTCACGTATTCACGCCACTTCAATTGAGCACCAACCTTCGGACGGTGATTTGGCCACTTACTGCACCTTGTGTGCACTGGACTGCTTCGAACAGAGTTTACTTGTGGCGGAAGTTAGGTATTCGTACGCCCTGACGAGGGCCTACGTCATTTTCGGTATTGCCATTACTTGACGCGGGTCTAGGCTTGCCGTTGCCGGTTCACTGGGTCACCTTTCCAGTGCCTCACGACCTGCTCGACGGCCAAGAGATAGTGCTCCTGGTCGTACTTTTCAGCCACAATTTCGGGAAGCCCGAAATAGAACAATGCTCTAAAGAAGAGTGCTGAAGCCCCAAAGATGCACGAACTGAGCACAAAATTGAGTCAGCAACCCACCATCCGGCTATACAGATAAAAGAGAAAGCCGGTTTCTTCACACCTACTTTGCTCAATTTCGCAAGCGTATCAATTGCATTCGCCAACATTTTCAAGTAATGCATTTTTATAGATTCGCACTAGCGTATTTATAACCAATTTTATCAATACTAACGTTAGCATTTCTTCATTAGGCCTCTCTATCTCATCTGTACCCTATTTTTTCGTCATGCACTGTCTAGTTCAAGCTGTTCTCAGTAAATCAACGTTTTATGCCATGCAGGTGGTAGTAATACTAACCGAGCATCGTTCTTTCCTGTAGGTTTTGTGTGCGCAGAAAAGGGTAGTGGGATATTCTGAGGGACGACTGTGGGGAACCAGAAGCGTTTATCAAGCATACCTAATGACTGCGCTCTCGCCGATCATCCACCCATACAGAGAACACACAGCGTCTTGTGAACTCCTCTCCAAGCATTTTGTACCCAAAGGAATCATGCTGCAACGCAATAATTTGAGCAGTGTGCGCAAGAAACAAAAAGTACGCATTTGTACAGGTGGTGCACCAATGCGGTTAGTCAGACTTAATTACCCCCGTTCGGCATCTGTGTGTTGTTATTACGCTAAGTGCAAGGGTCACATTCCACGGTAGCAACCTAATAAATCACCCAATTTTAATTGTGTTGCAAAATCAAACATTTTACACCAAAATAAGCAGAATGCAGCCTAGTGTGTCACTTAGAAGGACTGTACCTCCTAATTTTTCATTTCCTGATTTTTTTGCGTCCCGAAGCAAACTGGCAAGGTTTCAGCGTATTTGTCCGTACACTCAAGTTATAGCAGAACATTTGTGTAAACACGCGAGTGGCCTGAGAGAAAGACAACACTTGCATATTGTGAGCTGGGATGTAACAAACTCTTTGCTCTGCGATTGTCTGCCTTCCGGCGCATGATCTTCAGTCATGGTCAGCTGCGTGATAAATCGAGCTCTTTATGCTTTCATCATGTTTGCATTAAAATTTAACGATTCTCAGTGGCTGAAACTTTCGTAGAAAACAACAACTGTGCTACATACAGCGCGTGACGTCACACACGGGGCACAAAATTGCGGTCACCGGTAGTGGGCGGGGTTTTCATCCGGCACTAAAACCATCTATTTTGCTCTGAAATACTCTTGTAGACCATTTGTCGTAGTTGAAAAGGCATAATACATCCTCTACTTCCGTTATTCGCTGAAAAGTGCACAATTTTTTGGGTGACCATAACATGACTGCTTTTAAGGGAGAATTTCAGCCGTATCCGTAATCTCAATCCTTGTGCATACCTGGCTCCACGTTCTCCATGAAGACGTCGATGTACTCGTCCCTGTCGGAGCGCGAATGTTCGTGGTCAAAGCCTACCGCGTGCAACAGCTCGTGCGCAATAAGGCCCGTGTAGAGGCAGTGAGTGCCCAGGCTCACCTCCTGAACGCCTCCCTGGCGTCCAACAAATGAACTGCACCTGTGTGTTGCGGAAAGGAAAGGTATCACCATCTTCACCACGTTTTCACAACGTTGCTTTACAGCTTTGCCAGAAAGACTACGAAAAACCATCAGAGTTTTCCGCTTTACGCGCATATTGTGTATAGTGTTTAGTTTTTAATATGCGCTCCTAACGTTATACCACTCCATGCACATGTGTCACACGATGTTTTATTTTTCTACGGTGAACACAATGGACCGTTCAATAGAGTTCAGGCGGTCTAAAGACGGTTGTACTTCGAGGTTATGGATTACGCAGATGCAGTCGTCTACCTACCGAAAAAAAGTCTTTGGGGGAGTTTTCTGCGAAAAAGAAGAACACAACGGCTGAATTGTCTTACTCTAAGTGTTTGTTCAACGCTATTCCGGTGGTTGTCAAACAATGGTGCACAAAAATACCAAACATTCGAGCAGGTACATCAGCTTTCCTCGGCGCATCCCGCCCCACCGCGGTGGCCTAGTGGCTAAGGTATTCAGCAGCTGACCTGTAGATTGCGGGATCAAATCCCGGCTGCGGCAGTTGCATTTCCAAAAGAGGCGGAAATGTTGTAGGCCCGTGTGCTCAGATTTGGGTGCACGTTAACGAACCCCAGGAGGTCAAAATTTCCGGAGCCCTCTACTACGGCATCTCTTATAGTCATATGATGATTTTCGGACGTTAAACCCCACATATCAATCAAATTGGCGCATCCTATTGGCCACAAACGCTCATTCGTGGTTTCCCTCTTCGAGCGTGCGCTCCGACTTTGCTCCGACGACTCAGCGTGAAGGCGAGAATGGAATAAGATAAATCACTGCTTCACCAATTACAGCTACGTTCGTCAACCAATTTGTCAACAGCAACGCTACTCCAGAGAAGCTCTTACGAAGGAAACATGCGAACAAAAAAATTTTTCAGATCCCACGTACAGTGGGCATCGATGTTATGCAATGCACCTATGAGAAATGTTGATATCTCACTTTGAAATCACCACAACGTTACGAGGTGGAGGTAAATGATTCCGTACATGACTTCCAGGTCATGATTGTCATGTTTGAATGTGTCGTTTACCTTCGTCATCTATTCACGTCACGTGATACCGAATTTAGTATATGTGGAGCAAGCCAAATCAATAATCCAAGTCCATTTTCGAGGCCCATAATTTAGAACCAATGCCTATCATGTACAATTTAATTTCAATGCAGTGATATTGCACATTCCCAACGAGACATGACTGTTTCCTCATTTAGTGCGTTTAGGTCCCTATACCTGCCCCTATGGCACACGAGCCATTGATGAATAGAAAATCTTTTTTCCGAAGGAAATTGCCGGACTTCAAATAAAATTGAGCCATTCATTCCTTCCCCACGCACTACCTACAGTTGCCAAATGGGGAGCTGTACTTACAGCCACTTACATCACACTGCTTCTTACAATAAACCGTTTAAACTCTTCCTTTCTTTAAACGTCTTCCTGTGAGGTTTAAAAAGCAGATTGACATGACCCGAAGTACACGTTTTTCAATTTGTTCGATAACAGTTTCATAGTGCTTTTGCTATGTTGCTAAATGGTGCGAAAGCCTTCCGAAAGCCTTTTTTGCTTCCTGCTTTCACAGAACAGGTACGATAAGCTGTTTGAATTTAATAACTGCAGCTAGGTTTACTAGTCAAGTTATGGGCTGTGGGGCCCACAACACTTTACGTAGTGAGTGCGCATACATTCACTGTATATTTAGGCATTAGGAAGCTTGGTGAAATAATTCGTTCAGGCCCTAGTGGGAAGATTTATTTATAAAATTTTGGTATTTTTGGACACAGCCAGTAATCACAACCTCCAGTTTATAAGAAGCGGACCGCAAGTGGCGGAGCAAAAAAGAACGCCACGGGGCTAAAAGCTCACATCATCAGAGAACTGGACATATTTCGGACTATAACACCATTGGATTCGGTAGTTCAATATTGCTGTGGGTTACCGCTCTTACTTGTGTTGTTGGTGAGAAAGATGCAACTTCATACAGAACTGAATAGCCTTGCTTTACAACGTACTAACTGACTAACCTCCCCGTCATTCCTCCTAATCTTTCCTCCTCCTAGTTCAAATCGAGTAGTAATCTATCACAACGCATATCCCATTTCTGCATGCTACAAACAAAGACCAAGCTTACTGCAGATGGAAACGTCGTTTAAGTTCACGCATGCGTGTGAATGAAGTCGCGCAGGGTAATTCCTTTTAATGTCATTTTTCTGATGTGGCAGTTCAACTAGCTTTTTTTTTCAAAAAAATATCATTACTATTTTTTGGGGCGAATGTCCTCACGCCATGGGTTGTGTGTCCCATGTCGTCGTAGTCGTTGTAGTAGCCAGTTGCAATGCGTTACATATCTACGGAGCGAATGATGATGAATGGGGCGAAGCGTCCATCACTCCATCCGTTTTGCCCCACTCGTCATCATTCCCCTCATGAATATGCTGTGATTTTTTTTTCTTCAGCAATTCCTCCTTGTATTGCTAAAGAGAAATGTACACTCGTGAATCTCAGCTGCTAGGAGTAAATTTGATTATTATGCGGGAACTACGTTCTTATTCTCAGTTTGACAGACTCGTTTATACAATCAACTCATCTTGCGGCATAAAGTTTTAAAACATGCGTCTGTGTTTTTCATGTGTGACCATCGTCTGCTGATGCATCGTTTTAGTGCGCATAATACTCATGCGTTGAAGTTGTTACGGAAACGTGCAATATGGCTGCTCACCCTTCTCGGCGAGTGATCAGTACGTAGTTCTTTTGCTTTCTTCGTGCCACAAACCGCAGGCAGGTTTCAGACTCGATGTCAGCCATCGTCTTCAGGATCTTCTTGGTGGTACGATCTGCCAATGAGGGAGCAACTTTAATTATATTTTAGTTCACTCAACTCTCAGCTACGTACACACTGCCAAAGTGAAGTCAATGGACCTTCGCAGAAATCGGCGCGCCGTGTACGGCGGCCACAAAGCATTATGGGAGGGCCGGTGGGGGCCGAGGGCTGAGGGCCGGTGGAGTGTCGTCTGCTCACCTCGCTTCCCGCAACGCGCGGCCGTACGAGCGCGTAGTTGTAGGTATACCGGGCGTGATAACCCTGCCTCAATGCGCACTCGCAGAAGAGGCATAACTCAGAGCACCATGAAGCAAGTAAACGGTAAGTATAGTTGGCTCACTAAAGACTCGGGAAAAACACTCACGTACTCGCAAACAGGCCCAATGAATTAGAAAACTTACTCGGCTTTCGCGGCCAGTCCCCGGCGCTTCGTTGATCGTATTTCCAAGAAGCTGAAGCTATTGTTGTTGGTTTTATTGTCAACATGACTGTACACTTTCATTATAGGTACTTTATCTTGGGCCCTGTAACTCGTAATATGCTTCCGGGTGATACGCGGTGCAAGACCGTGTCATTTCGTGCATGCGATTTCAATACCATAGTAATTGCTTGTAACAAATGCTCCGTGTGAGAAACTGCGCACTTGACATGCTGAAAGTAGTGAAACCAACTACTAGCACGCCCATAGAGCAAACATCAAGTGAGTGCTGTAGGGTGCGGAAATTATGCATAGTTACAACGCAGTGTCGCACTTCATAAAGCGAGAATATTCTGCACAGAAGCGTAAAACATACTGTATCTGTGTAGTTCTTGTTCTGGCGACTGTGAGTTGGAAATTAACTCAAAAGTTTTGGATCTGAGTGCGCAAAAGGTTGTGGCTAGTCAACAATGGGCACCAATATTTAACTGAATGAGCGTCAGTGTGCGCCATTTACACAATATTTGTTTTTACTGTTTGAGCTCTCTGGAGTTCTTTTAATATAGTTTGTGATTATGCAAATTGAGTATTTGGTTGTTTGGATGCACATGCCTCACCAAGCTGCCGAAAACATACAGCATTTCCTGTCACTTTTGTCAAAGGGCAATAAACAAGACATCTCAAGGACTCGCTGGAAAGAAAATTCCGTAAAATGAACATTCTTATGATGCTAGTAGGCCCTCAGTATCTGAGCGCAGTGTGTTTAGCCAGAAAACGTTCATGTGTATAAGTCTGTTAACGGTGAGATTAGGACTTTAAAAGCAATGATGGAAGCCTCATTCAATGGGGGAAAAGTATGGAAGGCTGCAGCAGCACTTACATCAGCTAGCAATGTGAAAGAAACTAGCGTCGATTGTTGCTTTTGTATCGATAATAATGAAGCTACAACCAGCACTCGTCGCCTTGAAACAGGCTACCAAAAAAAATGAGATGCCTGAAGCAAACACAGGTTAGGCTTATAGCTCCATAGTGAGTAACAAGCAGATAAGATTAACGATAAGCAAGACGTAAAGAGCAAGATAAACCCTAAGTAACCGTACAATAAAAAACTCGCAGGGTTTCTTGTGCATTCCCCCAAGATGACGTGAAGGTGAAAGCCGCCTATTTCTGTTTTTCTTGATTTGAATATTGGTCTTTCCCGCCACCATTCAAAATATTCATCCACTTGAAGTGCTTTTGCACTGCTTCTATGAGCGGAAGCTCTCCGTCATTCAGTACCTCACCTGGTTCTGCTCAGCCTACGTGATTGGCGGGCCTATCTCAGAGGCAGCGCAAAGCGACGATGTCGTGTAATGGCGTGATCATGAGACGTCATGATGCCACACATTCTGGTGATCCGTGATGCCACGATGGCGCCCTATGGTGATGCCATCACGCGAATATTTGTGTCGCTCTTATTGACGCCACTACCACGGGACGCCAAAGTGAACAAAAGTAAATTTTCGTTTCTAGGCGAAAACCTCAGGTGCTTTATCAAACAAGAAACTTGGCCGTCTACGTGCCCCGTCAGCGGCGTTGAGTGATATGAAAAATCATCACGTGATGACAACAGATATGGTGTCAGACATCGCCAAAAACTGTGACGTCATTAAAACGTCACGTGACTTCACGTTATCACGTCATCGCATATGGCATCAGAGCTTGTTGAAAGGTAACCTGATCATGGAGGCAGTGCAAACATCTCATTAGGTTCCGCGAGCTTTCGGAGGGTGGTGGGCATGGGTGTCGGCAGGGGGGTGCAAAAGGGTCACTACCACTCAGACCATACCATCACTTGCCCACACCCAAGCTACACCAGTGCTTTTCCCAGCTGCGATGCAAGAAACTCGTGGACTGTCTGGGTAGAATCAGCCCATCGCCTGACAATAAAAACAAGACAGTGTTCGCCTTCATGTCGTCTTTGGGGAACGTGCAAGGGACCCTGTGACTCTTTATTGAGGCATCTGATGCTGTCGCCTCTTCCCCACCATAGACGCCACTTTTTCCATTCTGCCATACGTCTCCTTGTCGTACATTTTCTCTTCCGCGGTTTGAAATCCTCAAGCCCCATTCACGCTTCGCTCCCCTGTCCGCATCGAGGCTTTCGGCCATCGGCGACTATGCAACCCACTCTCCTGCTTTCGGTTCCTGTGGGGGATCGCTCTCCGTACAACCAGTACGCCGTGTTTGGACGGGAGAGGTATAAAAATCACCATCTGGTTCACTTCGGCGCTTTGATTGACAGTTGATTTGGAAACCCTGAGTACAATCTTTCTTTCGGAGTGTAAAAAAATTCGCGTGACACGAAGTGAAGAGACGAAGAAAGGGTAAAGAGGCAGAGGCTTGTTTGTCCTTGGACTGTTCGAATGTACGCAATGTTGGGGAAGGCGCTGCTCTGGACGCCAGAAAAGGTTCCAAAAAGATTTTCCTACAGACATAACACTGTCAAATATCAAAGGCCGTCACAAGATGATGAAGAGATGGGCATCTTCAGGTAGCATTGAGGATGGTTGCGCGCTTGCTAGTGACTGTGGCTCGCTTTCACAGATCTATGCAATTACGGTGGTGATGACTCGAAAAAGAAGGGTGGGAAATAATCTTTTTATTTAGAGTGCGAAAACTGTGTACGTTGTAGACACCCGAGGAGTTGACACAAGTGCTTTATTTTTGTAATTCGGCCGAGCCTGGTGTATACCTCCCAAAAGTAGCTAGATCATATTTACTCTTTTTTTATTACATAGCGTAATCCATTACGCTTGCAGGAGACATGTTACTTTTATTCAGCAGTCCCGGCTCGCATGCAATATATTGCCACGCTTAATGTAGCCTTGCGTTGTACTGCTCGTTGTGCAGGCCCAGAAGCGGCTTAGAGCGAACTTATTCATCCTCTTCAACACGAAACAACGTGAAACCAAGCGGCATTAGTACCCCCTTTGAAAAGCATCGACTTGATGCTTGTGTATAAATGAAAAATAACACAAATAGAACACGCGATGACAGAGAGAATCAGAGAGTGAGTACTAGAGATAACAAAGAGGGTGCACCAGCACCTGCACCATGCGCAAACACGAAAACACCAGCTGATGAGTCGAGAAAAAAAACTCCGCATCAGATCACTGTCACTTGTTGACAAAGTAACACGCAAGCGCAGAGTAACTTAATATCACATGCACAGTTTCGGGTCGACGTTGTCGACGTGAAGACACTGTGCCATCCGGAAGTACTTCGTATGTAAGGTCACTCACACTTCGGATATCCTTCTATGGTTCGAAATAACGGCCCAGAAGCTTTTCAGACAAGCCTGGTCGACAAATAGAAGTCCACACCCACACTCGTTCGCCAGGGTGGTATGTGACGTTTCAACGGCGAAGGTTGTAACGTCGCGCATCTGTGTCTTGTTGATGACCGATATTTACGCGAGCCAGTTGACGAGCCTCTTCGGCGTACTTCGTGTATTGCTCGGCTTCTGAAGCAAGCGCATCGCTATTATCGTACGGCAGCAGAGCGTCAAGCAGGGTTTGTACGTTGCGTCCATAAACAAGGTGGAAAGGTGAAAATCGGTTGTTTCCTGCGTTGCCATATTGCATGCGAACATGAAGTATGGCAGAATAGCGTCCCAAGTTTTGTGCTGCACGTCCACGTATACTGACAGCAAGTCCGCTATGACCTTTTTGAGCCTCTTTGTTAGTTCATTTGTTTGTGGTTGGTCAGCCGTTGTTTTTCGGTGAACTGTGCAGCTGTCTGAAAATGTCCTCCAGCATTTGTGCCGTAAATAACGTTCCTCCATTCGTAATCACACATGATGGCGCGCCGTGGCGTAGGACGATGTGGCGCACGAAGAGCTTCGCGTCTTCAGACGCCATGCCACGGGGTAACGCCTTTGTCTCAGTATACCAAATCAAGTAATCTGTTGCCACTATAACCCATTTGTTTCCAGTAGCCGACAAAGGGAAGGGCCTTAGAAGGTTCATTTTCACTAGGTCTAAAGGTGTCCGTGATGGTGTAATAGGGTGGAGAAGGCCCGCAGGTTTCACAGAGTAGCGTCTTGCGACGCTGGCACTGGCGGCAGCCTTGCACGTAGCGGTGTGCACTGGTAGAAAGTCGTGGCCAGTATTACTGCCGGCCCACTCGAGAGTCTTCAAATAGCCCAAGCGTCAAGACGTGGGCTCGTCGTGGCACGCGAGGAGGGTGTCATCTCGTATGGCAGCTGATACAATGAGGAGGAAGGCTTTGTTGCTACCTCGAGCTATTTTTTTTTGTAAAAGATGCCCCTCCTTGGCAAAAGGTTGACAGTTAACGATTAATGCGCCGAGCAACGTCAGAATTTCAGCCTTCTAAGGAATTGATAACAGGGCACAATTCCTGATCTGCTCGCTGTCTAGTGGGCACGGGAGCGTCAGGACGGCTGGCACCGCTCACGCTCTGCCCTTTTATGGTACGCGGGCTTTTATGGCCTCGTAGTTCCTGCTATTCTCGCTACCTGCTCAGGACTTTCCTGCAACGCCACACGTGTGGCCACAGTTCGTGCACAACGAGTACAATCAGTGCAGCTACCT